GGGCAGAGAACACAGGCTGGACAGGACTTCCATTTCCTTGTGTGTCTCCAATTCTGGGCTTTCATGGTTGGAATCCAATTCCCTTGAGTCTTTCTCCTGCTGGCCCTGGGCTCTTTCATTGTGTTTCTTGCTGCATGGTGCCAGGGAGAGCAGCACGGATGGGTACTATTCTGCTGAGCTTACCTCCAGCCCCAACCTGGTTCCACTCGCACCCCCAAGTCCTCCATGATCACCTTGGGTGCAGGTGAGCCTGATGTTCTGAGCCTTTGAATTCAGGAAAGATGGCGGAGGAGGCCCTTTAGGTGATGTGTTCTCCTGGTTCCCTGCCCTGGTCCCCAGGAAGGGAGGTCTGAATCCCCGTCTGGATTTATCATCCAACAGCTTCCAGGGAAGCAGCCTCCCAGATGCCCATCGGGTGCCCAATTCTCCAGGTGCCTTCACTGTTCTTTCTTCCATCTGGCTGAGGTCTTGAAGGCTGATGCTCCTGCCCCCACCCTCACTTGAACGGGGGCTGTGGGTAGGCTCCACCATCCTCAGCTAATACCATGCTGAGAATGGAACCCAGCCTAGCCAGGGGCCTCAATGTCAAAAGGACCCTTAACATGGGTGACAATTGCACCCCCCTCAGAGTGTCTGTCCTGGGCTCACTCCTCCCTTGTGTCCCTAGGAGTGATGTGCTGGGGTGGGGGTGGGGTTTGCTGGCTGTGGCCCTGGTGACCACACAAGGACTGAAGCTCTTTGTGTCACGGCTTGGCAGCAGTTGAGGGATTTCTGGAAGGAGGGTGAGGGAGCCAGGAAGGAAAGCACTGTGGGACCTGGTGTTTCCCCAGAAGCCTGAATACAAAGAAAGGATGGAGGGGAATTCTGCCTATGAGGTTGTTTTTTCCCTTTAGAATGAGCCAGCCTCTGTCAGAAAAGGAAGGGCCAATGTCCTTCAACTTCAAGAGTTTCCCTCTAATCCAGATTCTAAATGGCAGATATTTCAGAAGCAGGCCTAGGGTGGAGGGAGGAGGCTGTGTGAACCAAATAGAGGAAGTCAGGTGGTGGGCTCCCTGGTACAGAGGGTGGACCTGGACAGCAGCAGACAGCTAAGGCTCCGAGACATGAGGTGATTTGCCTTGGGCCACACAGTATGTGTTGACAGAGCTATTTGTTTTTTACTTATTCATTTATTCATGTGTGTCAGTATGCATATGTATATGTGAGTGTCCATGCATGTGTGTGTACGTGAGGGTTCAACTCAGAGGACAACCTCAGCTGTCATACTTCAAGCACCAGCCATATATATATATATATATTTCTGTATCTTCATATATATAATATATATATATATATATATATATATATATATAAATAAAATGTGTGTGTGCCTTAATGTATATATGTGCACTGTGTGGGCACAGGAGCCCAAATATATCAAAGAGCATCAGGCCCCCTGGACCGGGAGTTACAGGTGGCTCTGAGCCACCATGTGATGCTGGGAACTGAACCCAGGCCCTCTGCAGGAGCAGCTGCTGCTCTTAACCTCTAAGCCACCTCTCTAGCCCCAGTCCACTTTGTTTTTGAGACACTGACACCTAGAATTCACCAGCAGACTTGGATGATTGGCCAGTGAGCCCCAAGAATCTTCCTGTCTCCGTCTGCCAGCACAGGGATCACAAATGTGTGCCACGGCACCAAGCCTTTTAAACATGGGTGCTGAAAGTTAAACTCCGTTCCACCCCTGGGAGGCAGAACTTTGCAAAACCAACCCCCACCACCCCTGAGAGATGCTGCTGCCAGCCATGTGGCTCTGACGCTGCGATAAGCCATCCTCAATAGGAGGGACAGAGGCCTGTCCAGCTGTGCTCTCCTTCATCACAATGTATTCGCCCTGTTCTCCCAATCAACCACCCCCCTCCCATGAGCTGTTGAGTCCGGGGGAAGGTTGGCTCTGGCACCACACATGACGAGTAGGGGCTTCAGAAAATGCCCTTGAGAGGGTCGTGTGCAGTTACCTTCTCTGCCTTTGGGCAGGGCAGAGAGTTGAGCTCCCAGGGAAGGGGAAGCCTTGGTCAAAACCAGAACCGAAACAGCAACAATGCCAGTACCAGAGCTGGGAAGAAAGTAGTGGGCAAAAGCTCCCTGTAGGTCATGCTATCTTTGAGCATCGTGTATTCAAATGCTGATTTCTGTTTACAGGCTGGACTTTGGTATTGTCATTATTAGGAAGCTTCTCCTGACTCAATATTTTGTAAACAGTTCTCCATCACCATCTGATTAGTCGAATAAATTGCTGAATGGCCAATAGCTGGGCTGGAGAGCTTAGGTGGGCTTCTGGGCCCAGAGGGAAGGGGTCTCAAATGGGGACCAGAGAGGGGGTTGCTGTCCAAGACTAAGATGGCAAGTAATGGGCCACGTGGAGGAATGCAGGCCAGACCAGTATTGTTGGGTTAGCATAGCTGAGCATCTGTCCAGCTGCAGTGCCTAAAGCTTTTTAATAAATATAATGGGTCTCCATGTCATTACTCAGAGCAAGGGAGGGCAGAGCAAAGCCATATGGTTGCACCTGTGCCCATTGCCAGTACCTGTTAGAGAAGGCACAGGCGGCAAAGTCAATGACTACTATTTCCCAGCAGGGAAGGCCCCAGGACGGGGGTTGCCCAGAGCTGTTAGCACAGCCTCAGCTCCCCTCCTCCTTCTCCCTGGAAGGACCCATTCCTGACCCTATGCTGGAGGTGGCCCTCTCCCAACTGAAGTACAGCCCCAGGTCTATAGATGATTGATGTGCCAGTTTTTGCTCAGTAGTCGCCGGTTGGCCCCAGCCAACCACAAGCAACTGAGAAGTTCAGTGTGTTACCGAGCGCCCTGGGGAGAGGAGAACAATACATCAAACAGCTCAGAAGACATCCACAGCACTCAACAAATGCTTCTGCTTTTCATGCCATCAGCGTAGAAGAGGGACCTCATAGGGACCTCATAGGGTCCTGCCGTGCAGCGCGTGTTCTTGCTGCTGAGACAAGCCACCCTCTTCCCAGAGTCAGAGTTCCTGAAGAGAAGCTCGGAGGACAAGGACCCACCTGAGACCTGGCCTGAGCCATCTCCATACCCTCTCACAGCAGGGCACATGTCCCGTGTGGGTCCTTGCACCCAGAGTCCTGGTTTTTTCTCTGTGTCTGTCCCTCTCTGATGGGGCCTGGCATGCCTCGACCTTGAACAAGACTGTGATGATGGGGTCCCAGAGCAATCCATGCATTCCAGGGGCAGAGCATGAGTCAGCATCCTGTTTGTAAGGGAAACGGATGGAGCCACACACTCCAGGAAAGGGGCCACGGCCTGAAGCTTAGATCTGATCAAAGGGGCCTGTCAGGGGAGGAAGTTCCACCATGCTGGAGCCCTCATGGTGCCTCTGCTGCCCCTCACTGAGGGCCATGGTTGTGTTTTTTCACCACCTCCATGTGTGACCTCACTTAACCCTGTGCATCTACGGCTCAGAGGTACTGCTCCTATTGGCTAGCTAGGAAACAGGCGTGCACGGAGGTTTAGTGACCTTCTAATCTCCTTCAGCCTTACCCTTCCTGACTCTAACAGGCTGCAGTGTGAGTCTCCGGGGTAATGAACTCTGCAGAGACTTGCTTTAAGATGCCTCCTCTAGGGTCTGGAGACATGACTCAGTGGCTAAGAGTACTTGTTGCATTTGCAGGTGAACTAAGCTCAGTTCCCAGCACCCACACTATGACTCACAACCATCTGTAGCTCCAGTTTCAGGGCACCCACACCCTTTTCTGCAGGCACCTACCACCCATGTGCTGTACATACATACAATGCAGGTAAAACACCAAGCACATAAAATAAATCTAATTTTTCAAAAGCAACTTCCCATTCCTTCTTCCTTAGAACACCAGCAGTTTTTCTTTCTTTTAAAGTAATTCTTTTAATTTTGATCCATCCAACCATCCATCCATCCATCCGTGTATGTGTGTGTGTGAGAGAGATAGAGTTATAGAGAGAATGACAGAAAGTCAGAGAGAGGTGTCAGAGGACAACCGAGGGAGCCAGTTTTCCCTTTCCATTCTGTGGATCCCAGGGGTCCAGCTCAGGTTGAGGCTGTGGGGCCTCTCTGTCTGCAAGGCTAGCCCCAAGACTCCGCTTCTCCTGATGCTGTCAGTGGGAGGACTGGGTCTGTTAGTTGCTAGTACGGAGCCATTTAAACAAAGCACAAAAGACTCTGATATACATTATCCTAATTTAGAATTATCAACAAGAATAATTACACAGTGCGGGCTACTGCTATCGCTGTTTCCCTCCTTAAAGATTAGAGACAAGCTTTGAATTACTAACTGCCATACAGTGAAATGTGTGGAGTTTGGGTGGGTGGGGTGGTCTGTATGTGGCGGTGGGCGGTGGCTAGTGTTCATCTAGGAAAATCAACCATAGTGGAACTCCTATTAGAAAATTACAAGCTCCTGGGCGTCGGAGGGTGATGGCAGGGCAGCCTGCAGTCTGGAGATCTTGCCGCAGGCTACGGCTGGGGCTCTGGCCCTTACATGTGACCTAGGTCAAGTTAACAGCTGTAACTCCTTCACTAATAGAGTGTGGTAGGCCACGCTACCGGAGGCGCCACCTGGAGTTTTCAGTCCCTGGCCAAGGGTCTCAAGGGGCTTGCCCCCTTCCACACCAGGGCGCAGGCCAAACTTGGCCACCTTGTCCTCCCCCTTGGCTTCTGTCCATCAGCTCTGTCCTTAGCTTTCTCGCTGCTCTGGCCTCCCTTTGGCTTCCCCGGGAGTGCACCCGCCCACGCCCGGCGTCCCCAGACCAGTTCCCAAGCTCCGCCACTGCAGCAGCGGTCACGTGCGCTAGTCCCGCGGAGGAGCCAAAAGGCAAAAGGATGGGCGGGACCATTTTGCAGGGCCACGCCCCCACGCCCAAGGCATTTTCTTATTGGCGAAGGTTTGGGTGTGCAGCTTCTGATTGGTCTGTAGGCGTGGCCTCCGAGAGCGGAAGGGAGGGCCGGCTCTGGAGAGGCCAGGGTTGCCCGGCGGCCAGCGGGAACGCGCTCCGGGGGGTGGGGACGCGCGAGCTCACGACTGCTCAATGACAAATCGAGTAGGGACGGCTGGGGTCCAGCCCCAGGACGGGGCGGGGCGCCCGTGAGAGCGGCGAGTCTGGTTGTGCACACAGCTAGAGCGGTGGTGCGACGGATTCCCCAGGTAAGGATGCTGCGCCCCGCAGGGGACCCTAGCGCGGGGTGCGCTCTGGGATGGGGAAGTGGGTGCGCTCCCCGCGCGATCGCGGGGCTCCTGGTTCAACGTTGGGAGGGAGGGACACGTCGAAGGACAACGCCCGTGGCCGCGCCCCGCTTGGCTTGGGAGGCGTCCTCCGGGAAATCCGGAGGACGCCTCCCAGCCTGATCTGGGGGTGCTCGGGACTTGGGGAAGGCGCCCCAGTTCTCTTCCCTTGCCGCCTGTCCTTCCCTTTTCCCACAAATGGCCACTTCCTGCCTTTTCGGGCCTCCCTCCTGAGTTGGTCCACTTCCTCAGTCCGTTTCAGGGCGATAAAATGTTGCTCAAACTTCTCTCTTAAAGGTGGGAACTTGTACCTTAGGTGACCCGGGGCCTGGGTTCCAGAAGTTTATGGGGGTTGGTTTGGTTGGTTGGTTGTGAATTAGTTTTTGGTCCTGTCTTCCAAAATGCCTTTCGGAGCGTGACTACCATCGAAGGTGGCTTGAAGGGTTTTCCTAGCCGCCTCTTACGAGCCAAGTCGGTGCGTTTCTGACGACCTGGGAGCCCATAGAGCGCTGCACCCAGAGCGCGTCCTTCCTCCCCCTGTGCTCATTTCCAAGGGAGTACTAGAACCTAGGGACTTCGATGTTATCGCGGTGTTCTTCTGGGGAGAGCGTCTGGAGTCTCCAGTGGACTGATTGTTCTTACCCTTTGACTTGCCTTCAGTCCCAGTGGGTCAGATAACCTTTTGCTGTGCCTTGATTTCTTAAGCACTTTTCTTAAGTTTGGGGCGTATTGAATGAGCAAGGCTTAGCAGGGGGGATGTGTTTTAGATGTGCAAGTGAAGGTTGCTTTAAACAGAGCAAGAACCGTGGACTCTAAGTCTCAGAGCATGTGGAAGTGCCGCTGCTTTAGCCTGGGTTGTGGTGGTGAAGTCAGGAGAACCAGGAGAGGAGGTGCTGAGTGTTGAGAAGACCAGGAGGCTTGAGCCAAGGTTGGACCTGGTCTTGGAACTTTGTGTGTGAGAGACATTGTCTTTTGTAGCCCAGGCTGGCCTGGAACCTGATATAAAATGAGAGTGACCTTGAACGTCTGATGTTCCTGCTTCTACCCCTTGTGATAACTGTGTGTTCTGCCATATCCCCGTCCATGTGGTGCTGGGGATGGAACGCTGAACTTCCTGTATGCTCAAGAACTCTACCAGCTGAGCCAAATCCTCACCCCGGTTCTAGATCTTCCTCAGTGCTTTGGTCTAGAGGAGGCCCTTCCTCTTTCCTGAGCTCCAGCGTCAGTGTAGCTGTGAGACAGTTGGCACCCAACCCCACTGTCAGCGTCTACTCCAGCAGGCAGTGTCTCAGGTGCTCTCTGTGGGAGTGTGGGTGACATGACGCCCTCATCCCCCTTTCCCTGAGTCTCATGTAGTAAAGCATTGATCACCAGCCCGGGAAGCTCCTGGGAGCTGGTTGGGAATCGTCTCTAGGCCCTTATAGGGAATATGGGGATTCCATCGTCCTCCTGCCTTAGCTTCTTGTCTACCAGGAGGTAAACAGCGCCCTCTATCGTGCACTCCCTCCATGTTTGTTCTGCTTTGCTACAGCCCCCAAGCAGTGAAACAATAAGCCACGGCTGAAGCTGTGCTGTGTGTCTGTGTGTCTGTATCTTTACTTGTATGTGAGCATGCATATATGTATGTATTTTTAGATTTATTGTTGTGTGTGTACCTCTGTCTGTGTGTGTGTGCATGCAGGTACCTTTGGAAGCCAGAAGAGGGCATGGATGGGGTACCCTGGAGCTGGAGTTACAAACAATTGTGAGCTGCCCCACAGGAGTGCAAACTGGGGTCCTCGGAAGAGCAACCGATGAGCCATCTCTCGAGCCCCACCATGTTGTTTATTATTATTGTGAATGTTCATGTTACGCAGCAGTGGATGCTTTGTGGAGTATGGTTTTTCCTTCCACTTTTAGTTGGGTTTTCAGGATCAAACTCTGGTTGTCAGGCTTGTGTGGCAAGCACCTGTACTGACCTGTCCTGTCAGCCTGGAAACTTTTCTTCCCTTTAAGTGGGGTCTCAAGTCTATTCCAGTAACAGAAAAGTAACGTAAGAGGGATGAAAGTAAGGTGCGGTGCCTGTAGGAACTCTATTGATTCTGTTCTGTGTGTGTGTGTGTGTGTGTGTGTGTGTGTGTGTGTGTGTGTGTTTGCTAGGATGTGCTAGATGCTGGACAGGGCCTTGTGCACAGCTAGGTACTCTCAACTAGTGTGGCACCCCAGCTGCTCCTCTTCCTTTTCAGCTACTTCCCACTGGAAGCAGTGGCTGCTGTTATCTGAGATGCCAGCAAGATTTTACTTGCCTGAGGAGATGTTTTTCCAGGATTCTGTGTGGGAAGAGTGTGGGTGTGAGATCCTAGATAGCTTTTGGAAAATAGGACTCAGACACATAAAGACAGAAAAATGAGAATTAGAACCTTGAGTGAAATCTGGAGAGGTCTTGGAACGTGGTGGAAGAGGGAGAGGTGTTCTCAGTTCTTTGTGTTTGTTTGATTTGGTGCTGGGGATGGAGCCTCAACATTTTAATTCTTAGGCTAGCAGGTGGCTCAGTGGTTAAAGCATTTGCCTTACACCCATAAGGACTAGAGTTTGGATCCTCAGAGCCCAAACAAGTGGCTGGTGAGCAGGGCAGCCTGCCTGTAAATCCAGCATGGAATCCAGGGATCCCTGGAGAGAGTGGGCTAGCTCATGAGACTCACCAAGTCAGTGAGCCCTGGGCTTTATTGACGGTGACCCTTCACATCAGCTTCGGCCTCTACATGCACGTACTCGTGTGTGCAGAGCACCCACAACACAAGCAGCCATGCCTATACTCGCACCCTAAGAATGGAAGGAGAAGATCTTCATGCCTTGAAGTTCGTCAAGGTTCTTGCCTTGGGGACAGTGGCTTTAAGACTCCATAAAAAGTTTGAAACCTGGGAGTTTCTGCTGTGTCATTCCATCTTGGTGAACCTCTTGGAGTCTGTGACCAGATTCCCCCATTCATCTCAGTTTTGAATGTGGGAACCATTGTTGGAAACATTGGAAATAACAACCAGAACGATTGGGTTGGAACATTGTGAACTGGGAAGGTCTCCAGCATGATAGAATATAAGAACCTCGCTTATAGTCCAGGGTGTTCAGGACTGAACCCCGGAACTCTGTATATCTTAAGCAAACATTATTTTCCTTTAACACAGGAGGGGTGTGTGTGTGTGTGTGTGTGTAGACGTGTGTGGGCACATGCATTTGGAGGTAGCAGGCAGGTGACTTCTGTCTCTGTTTGAGACAGGGTCTCTCGTTGGTCTGAGGTTTGCCATGAGGCCAGGCTGGCTGGTCTGTGAGCTTCCGGGACCCAGTGCTGTCGGCTTCACACTCTGCCATCGCTGGGGTCTCAGGAGTGTTCCACTCCAAGCTTTCTACTCGGGGGATTGAATTCAGGCCTTTCCACTTGCAAGGCAAGTGCCTTACCAGCTCCCCAGCCCGAGTTCCACTGTTTGGTTTTGTTTTTACCGATTTCGTTTTTTTCTTTCTTCATGTTTTTAGCCCCCTTACTAATAATTGAACTCAGGATGTTGTGTGTGTTAGGCAGCTGGTTTATCACTGAGCTAAATCCCCAGCCCACCTCCAATTCCTTCTAACCAGCACCTGCTGTTAAATGAGAAGAAAAAAAAAAAAAGAAAAGAAAGAAAAAAGAAAAAAAATGTTTTTTGTTAAATTTAACTTTACATGTATTTTTATGTGTATGTGTATTCCTGTGTGAGTTCATGTGTCCCGGGTGTGTGCAGGAGCCAGAAGAGGTCAGAATAGGACTCCAGATCCCTTGACGTGAGGATTGGAGGTGGATGTGAGTCACCTATGGGTGCTGGGATCTGAAGCCAGGTCCTCTGGAAGAGCCAGCAGTTCTCTTAAACATGGAGCCAGCTCTGCAGGCTTCAGCTGCGAACTTCTGACTCACCTGCTCAGTGCTGCAATGACGTGGCAGCACCTCCACACGTGCTTTATACAGTGCCGAGGATTGAACCTGGGACTTCAGGTGTGCTAGGCTCACACGCCCCAGCTGAGTCACGTGGAGAGCGCCGTAGGCCGTCTTGAAGACTAGCTTCCAGTCTGTTTGTTTGTTTTTGTTTTGAGACAGGGTCTTTTATGTAGCCCTGGCTGTCCTGGGAACTCAGTCTGTAGGACGGACTAGCCTCTGAGTCACAAAGATCCACCTGCCTCTGCTTCTGGGGTGCTGGAATCAAAGGTGTGCGTCACCACAGCTAGCTTCTTTTCAAGCGAGTTTTAGACTAGACACTGTTGACGCCTCTCAAAGCATGTGGGTACCATAGGGGATGAAGACACATCTGCTTCTGCTCTCTTGAGACAGGGTCTCATGTAGCCAAGACTGTCCTTGAACTCCCTGTGTGGCTGAAGACAGCCTTCAGTGCCAGATCCTCTTGTCTGTGCCTCACACTGGCTGAGAGTCCAGAGGCAAAGCATACCAGCTTTGTGTGGTTCTGGGAATAAAAGCCAGGGCTCCCAGCGTGTGAGGCGAGTACTCTGCTAGCCTGAGCCGTACTCAAGCCCCGTTTGTGGGGTCTTCACTGGACCTTGCTTCCTTTTGCTTCAAGCCTTCCTCAGTGCAGTGAGAGGAACAAGTGGGAAGGAAGCTTTGAGTGTAGCAATCGGGAGAGGCAAGGCCGGCCGGGCAAAGGTTTGTGGGCCATGTTCAGAAAAGGGTTTAGGTTTTATCAGTGGTGGACCAGCGGAGCGCCAAGGGCATTGCCATTTGCTGGTCTAGAAAGTTTTCACGGCCAGGGAGAAGGATCCGGTCTTGGCAAGAAAGCACAAGGACCCGAGCTTAATTCCCAGGACCCAGGTTAAAACAAACAGAGCAAAACAGAACTGGGTGTGGCAGCTTGGGTCTGTAATCCCAGTGCTGGGGCAGTGGAAACAGGAGCTTCCCTTGGGGCTTGTCC